CCCTAGTATGACCCGAAACCTTTACCGATTCGTCAGCCCCGTGTATTGGTGTTTCGCAGATGGACTCTACTGGGCTAGGACGGTCGTCTGGAATGTGTGCTTCCCTCTCGGATTTGCATCCAGCATCAAACGACTCACGGTACAATGGGTATGACGCGCCTAGCGGGCTAGCTGCACTTGGCATTTTGTCTCCGGCTACTGAAGCCACATTTTTCTGCTGATGGTTGTCCCAACAAAACTTCTATACCAGACTGTTTTGGCAAGATGTATTCAAACAACGTCATGTTCAAATAAGCATGCATGTTGAAGCGGATTCTGTTCTAGAAGCGTGTTATTCACCCTGGTTCAGCAACAGTTCCCACTTTTGGGCCCTGACCTCGGACGAAATCTTCGTAACAGGTGGAAGTTTCCCTAAATTACTGTTCCCAAAATGCGGGAAATTTATATAGGGCCCCGTATTATAAGTTGAACCTACATATAGGACCCCCTATTGACAGTAATTTAGGACAATCCCCAGGTGGTGAAGAGAAAAAAACATTCCAAAAACCATGCGCATGGCTAAAAAGGAAGCGAGGTTGCGGGCGTGCTTACAGAAATCTGGCTGGCACCATGTGCCGGATACGACAGTTCGAATGCTCAGCACCTCACACCAAACGGACGGCTCATCGTCTTCTTCTTCCTTGGCTGGGGCCAGCAACGAAGCGTCTTCATAGCAAAGCACGAGTCCTTTGATGAAACGTGGCAGGACCCATTCAGTAAACAAATGCCAGTCCAAAGGGCTTGTCAGAGTCGCTAAAGTCCAGCGCCATGTCAGCAATCGCCTCATCTTCCGCAGAAGCTCAAGGTGCCATGCTAGGATCAGTGCAGTTGTAACCCCAATTTACTATAGTTGCTTCCATTTTCTTTTCCATTATCCCAATATAACACCATAACCCCTATATAACCCCAATATACTATAGTAGTTTCCATTTTGAATGGACGGAATGCCCGATCGTTCAATGAAGCCCGCTGCAACTGTTCAACCACCCCCCTATAGGGGTTATATTGGGGTTATATTGGGATAATGAAAAAGAAAATGGAAACTACTATAGTATATCGGGGTTATAATCTTGTACTTGCAGAACTGTGAAACATGACCCTTCCCAAGACATCGGCATTGACGTTGCTTTCGATTGGCATGCGCTCATCGTACGTGAACCAGTGCGCCTGCGGCTCTGCAGAAGCTTTGATGCCCATAGGCCAAAGGCTCAGCCTTTATGGAAAAGAAAATGGAAACTACTATAGTAGATTGGGGTTATATAGGGGTAATGGTGTTATATTGGGATAATGAAAAAGAAAATGGAAACTATTATAGCAAATTGGGGTTACATAGGGGTTATATCATCCCTAGATAACCCCAATATACTATAGTAGTTTCCGTTTTCTTTTCCATTATCCCAATATAACCCCAATGTAACCCCTATAGGGGTTATATTATCCTAAACCCTAAACCCTAAACCCTAAAGGGGTTATATCATCCTGGGAAGTTCAGCCTGCGCTTCCACCCTGGCATGGTCAACGAGCGTCCGGGCATCTGCTGTGAGGCCACTCATGGCGCAGCCTAAGCCCAAGGGGCGTCACAATTGAGGGGTGTTTTTGTTGGTGGTTTAGGGTTTAGGGTTTAGGGTTTAGGGTGGTGGTTGAACCTAGTAAGATTATGTTCCTTATGTAAAATACTATAACCCAAAAGGAGGATATGATCTTAACCCCTATATAACCCCAAAATCCTCGACACAACAGATGTGGGCGGCGCTTCTCACAAGACAAGGTTACACAGCACAGCGGGTGCAATCGCGAGAACCAATCTTGGGCACCTGGCCCATATGATAGTCAATCTCCTTGGCTCCGCCATACAGTTCAGGGTTTTAGGGTTTAGGGTTTAGGGTTTTTAGGGTTTTAGGTTTTAGGGTTTTAGGTTTTAGGGTTTAGGGTTTTAGGGTTTAGGGTTTAGGATACTTGTCTGATGTGGCGGCCATGTACGAAGACTGTGCGTTAGAGACTGGTCAGAACGCGAAGTCAACTTCCTGTACCTCTCATTCGCTCTTTGACGGTGCCTCATGATGGAGCCTTTGAAAGAAGTTGGTACGAAGATCCTTCCAAAACCTGAATAAGCAGCATTTGCAAACCCCTTCAATGGTAGGTAGGCTTTGCAATGGGTCCCCAATTACCGTAGAATACACTCTACTTGCAAGCCCTGAACCCAACAAGCACGAATCAACACCGTGGGGCTAGAAGCTTCTCGATGGAGGAGGGATCCACCAGCGGAGAGGTCACCCTTCGCTTTGAAGTCTCTTATAACATGCTGGACGCGATTCACGTCAACAAACACACAACTCTGGTTTCTGAGCAAAGCCTATGCAGCTCCCTACTTCTCCCGCTGGTCAGCAAGAGCCTCTTCTCTACGACCAGGATCACCTGAGCTGCGCTGAAGAATTGGCCAAGCAAAGGAAGTCATTGGCTGCACACATACATCATCAATGCTCTAAACCCTAAACCCTATACAACCCATTATAGTAGTTTCAAATTTCTTTTCCATTCCAAACCCTAAACCCGACCCACACCGCCAACAATCTGCGAATCTTGTCGACAGCAACAATAGACTTTGGATGCATGCGCCGGGTGCAACGTCTAGCTGCTGGATAACCCACGACACTGAAAGTTCCCACAGCTCCTCTCCCTTCTGCACCCCTGTGACTTAAAGCAATTTCAGACTCCTGGCTCTTTGAAGGCTGATGAGCAAAACTTCCAAGCTGGGGCTGCAGCGCCCTCTTTGGTGCAAATGCCAATGGCTGTCGAACCAAGCCTTGCTGTGAAGGGATTCACATATCGCATATCAGAAGGCAAGCATACGCACAGCATGGAAGCGTACCAGACCTGCAATAGACAGCTCAGGTTCGCAGAGCAAGAATGCCCTTTACAAACAGCGGGCGCATGTCTTTCGACAAGGACCCTGTGACGGCTGAGCCCTCCTGCTTGATGGCCTCGATGGCATATTCGACCTGGCTGCATGCATGCCCTCCCTGTGTGGCTGGTTGCGCCGCAAGTTTGCCTGCCTGAAAAAGTCGACCTTCGGGCGAGAACGTATTTACCTGAAGCCACAGGACAGGTTGCCAGCCTTTCTCATCCGAATAATGGACTCAGGCGCCGGCTCCACGGTCATATTCACTCCGAGACAAGAAGCTCATGCCTTGCACGGCTCGTTTTGCATTCTGTTCGCCATGAAACTGCTCTTCACCCAAACCTGTCTTTGTACATTCAGAAGGTTTATGAGCGTGAGGTTTCTATGCCCAACAGCAGCCAACGGACAATGGACTGCTCAGGAAACACATCGCCAAAAGCAGATGAGCCATAGTCTAAACTCCTAGTAACCTAGTATCCCCCTTAACAACCCCTATAGTAGTCCCCTACATAATCCCCTAATATAACCCCTCTAAGGAGTTCAGTATATAGCTCAGACAATGGTTGGAGGGTTGTCTGATCATCTAAGCCCTCGGCTCCGAATTCGCCCCCAGGGCACCTGTCGGTACATTCGTACACAGATTCTCAGCTCCAGCATCCCTAAATGTCTCACTAAACCCTGACGCCCCCAGGCTACACCCTAAATGATAGTTTCCATGTTCTCTTCCGTCATCCCTATATAACCCCAATAAGCCTAAACCCTAAACCCTGAATAGTGGTATCCATTTTCCTTTCTATTATCTATATATATATATATACCCCTACAAAAGTTTCCATGTAAATAACCCCTATATTATACCCCTGCATTATAACACCCCACCCCAACCAACGGACTTTAGTGGGAACCTTATAGAGGGAACCCCAAGAGTATAGTAAGGAACATACCTACCAGGGTCCCTATATTCTAGAATATTCCTACAACCTACGCCCCTAAACCCTACCCTAAACCCTAAAACCCTACCATATTCTTGGGGTTCCCTGTTTGGGGTTCCCATTCGAACCCTTCTATCATTCGCCGGCCTGGTCGGATCCCAGAAAAGCGCGGCGACTGCGAGCCCACGGCCACGGAAAAGGGACAATAGATAGGCTATAGTCTCTAAACTCCTTAAAGGAGGCTATATAGGGGATTATATAGGGTTCTGGGTCTAGGGTCTAAACTCCTTAAAGGGGGTTATTTAGGGGATTACACAGGGGACTATTCTAGGGGGTGTTAAGAAGATACTGGGAGTTTAGACTATGGCTCATCTATTACCCCCCTATCATAATACAGTGTTTTACATCATATTTTCAATTATCCCTATATAACCCCAGTATAACCTAATATTACCCCGTAGCTGCGAAAGCTTCAATAGTATGTGCCCTTAACCCTGGGATCCTTATATACCTACTATAAACCCTATATCTATCCTTAAGGTCCCCTAAAAGGTAAGGGCCCATATTAGGGGCCCATACTTCTGACCTTAGGTAGTTAGAAAGCCAGGCCCAGAACATGCTAATTATTACTATTGTCACCGTTGTGAATATCAATATTCTATTATCACTACTATTATTTCTACTAGTACTATTACAAATTTGAAATTCTAGTACTACTATGATTATTACTACTATTGTTACCGTTATTGTAAAAGATTGTTACGAGTACTACTACTACTACTACTACTACTACTACTAGGCTGCTACTACTACTACTACTCCTCCTCCTGCTGCTGCTGCTACTACTACTATAGCAGCTGTTATTAGCATTGCTGCAAGCAGCCCAATCAGTTTTCCAAGCCGGGCCAGAGGCAGACCCTCTTTGGGGCAGAGCTGCTCAGATGTGGAACGCCTGGACAAACCAGTGCAACATCTCGCCGTTAGCCCCCCTCAACACAACAACAGTAAGAATAGTAATAACAGGCAATATGATAGTAACAATAGAAATAGTAGTAGTTATTGTACGTCATCATAATAGTGATAATCAAGAAATGATCAGGTTAAGGCCACTGTAGCCTCCACGATCTTCTTCAGACCGAGCAAGGATCGTGGGCCTCTTCAGGTATTTACGTCCATTCCCCGAACAGACAGGACTACATTGCAACTTTCATGGGTGTACTCCAATCGCAGCTTGTGCCACGCTCAGCATCAACTCCCCAAAAAGTGTCGGCTACGTAATCGCATGAGTTTGAACATGTGACTCACCGATGGGCTGTTTGTATGACAGCAGTGCCCTGCCAGATCCGGTCATCAATTGCGCTTATTCTGTAGGAGTTTCCGCTGCAATGTGTCCTTACCAAATCGTCTCAGAAGCATTACATATGGTAGTTTCCCAAAATACGGGGACCCTAATATAGACCCCAAAATACTATAGTCCTTATTATTGGGACCCCAAAAGGGTACCCCTAATTTTGGGAAACCCCCATATTCATTCGGGAGTCCACAGGTCCAGAGAAAGATCCAAAAACTCAACAAGTGTTCAATGGCTCGCTGAGCCTGAAGGCAGTGGAAGCCCAGCACGAATCCTGCGATCCGTTACGCCGTACATACCCCTAGATAAACCCTTACAATCTATTATAGTAGTTTCCATGTTCTGTCCCATTACCTCTATATACCCCTAATTCGGATACCTAGATCTACGATGCTCCAGGGTTTGGTTGAAGGTTGGCTGACTGTCCCACACAAGCAATTGCCAGACTCCTCAAAAACTAGCCGCATCTCCCGCAACACAAGATTGAGGGTCTGCTGCAAAGTGATCCAGGATGCTTGGGGTGAAAGCATAACAGATCAACTCAGCCAGACTATGTCTGGCAAAGCACAGGCTGGGTAATGTGGTTCTTGACTAGTCTACTACGAATTCTGCAACTCTCTCACACACTAAACATTGCCGACTTTGCACAAGACAGATGCAGTACTATGCAATTAGAGTAATGTAATGATAAGAATAAGAATACAGTATATAATATACTATAACACGGCGCATGGCATCCAGATGTGCAGCTTGGGCCGCTGCCGGAGACTTCGCAAAGGAGAACCACGGAGGTCAGGTCATACCTCTCGCGCCCAGCCACCCGTGAGAAGGTTCACACTCTCATGCTCTGGACCGTGCGAAGACTCACTGAAAAAGACTTGAAGAACGGCTGGCCTTCAAGCCTGCAAACACACCCTACCCTAAACCCTAAACCCTAAACTAGGGCAGCTTGCTTGGTCAGATGCCTCATCAGAGGATCTTCTTCTTTGCCTTCCGGAAAATTCTCGTCGTCTACGCCGCAGGCAAAGTATGAGGGCCTGTCAACACAGTTACATTGGGCTTATATTCGGGAAATATTGGGGTTATATTGGGGTTATATTGGGACAATAAAAATAAAATGGAAACTACTGATATAATCCGAGCACTCGATTTATAAAAGGGACCATATTTAAAGATTTTTTGGAGGGAAAATTAGCGGTCCAAGACTAATTTCAATTAGGTGGAATTTCGTATGAAAAGGGACTAGATTTACAGAATTTTTTTGGAGGACCAATCCTGAAAATCGAGATAT